ATTTAACCCATTGGCAATGGCCCCAGGGTGTAGGCACCGTGAGATAGCCCTTGGAAGCTTGGAGCAAATGAATGCCAAATGAATTCCAAAAGTACAGACTTGGGCTCTGTACAATGATTTATCTGGTCTTTCTCCATGGCTCCCTGGGAGGTAACTTCTAAAACTCTTGGCATTTTCTCATAATAGTAGTGTCTTTGTCATGTGTGAACCACTTAGATTACACCTGAGTTCATACCAACAAGATCCTGAAGGGAGTGGATCACCAGAAAGACTAATGAAGTGACAAGAAGGTTGGGGCTTGGGGTCAGCCTGACCTCCACAGAGGGTAGGGGAAGCTGCAGACTGGGTTCTATCACATGGTTGAGAATGAAAAAAATCATGTCTACATGAGGTAACCCCAGGAAAAACTCTAGACACTGGGGACAGGGTGAGGGTCCTGGGTGGTGAACACATCGATGTGCCAGGAGTGGGCAGCAGCCTCACTCCGCAAGGAGAAGGCAACAGAGCTTGGCATCTGGAACTTTTCTTGACCTAGACATTTGCATCTCTCCCAAACTGTAGCCTTCCAAATTCATGAGCGCCCTAGCCAGATTGGCTCAGTGGTTAGAGCATTGGCCCGCAGACTAGAGGGTCTCAGGTTCAATTCCACTCAAGGGCATGTACCTGGGTTGACGGCTCAATCACTGATACTCCGAGAGCACGTGCGGGAGGCAACCCATCGATATGTCTCTCTCACATCAATGTTTCTCTCTCTCCCTTCCACTCTCTCTGAAAAGCAATGGAAAAAATATCCTCTGGTAACGGTTAAAAAAAAAGTTAAAATCATGAATTTTAATGTATATTTCACCACAATAAAAAAACCTTAAACAGGTGAAATTTGTTTTAGTAATATTTTATGTATCACAATATAGTCAAAATATTTTCATTTCAATATGTAACTAATTTTTAAGATTGAAATGTTTTATATTCTTGTTATCATACTAAAGCCTTTGAAAAGTTAGCATTCAGCGTGTATGCTACACTTACAGGGCACCCCAGTGAGGGCTAGCCAATTTCAAGTGCTCAATAGCCTCATGGAGCCAGTGGACAGCCTTCATCTAAAACCTCATCTGCAAGCATCTCCATTCTACTTGCAAAGACCCACAGGTTCCCTGCAACACTCCTGCAGCACCTCTGCAAATCCGCCTACAGGTTTTCTGCAAACTTCCCACATCATCTTCAAACACGCCCACAGCTCACAGGCTGATCCCTGAATCTCACTGCGGGCAGCTTCAGAACCTTTGCAGGTTGATCTGGCCTGCAAAGCACCCCTCTTCTTAGTGTAAAATGCCATATGCCCATGGGAAACACTCTGGCAGGGCCCCACATAGTCCTCTCCAAGTCCGGGGGGCGGGGGGCTGAGGCCGGACAGGAGACCCCAGGTGTCCTTCCTCTTGCTTCCCCTCAGGCTCTTCATCCTGGGCCTCTTCTAGGAAGGCAACCAGCTCCTCCCACAGCACCGGGTCTCCAGCCCCAGGCTACACAGCTGGCCCAGCAGCTGGATATCGCTCTTCAAAGTTTCTCCTGCAGGAGGGAAGGGAGAGTCATGGGCATTCCACCCCAGAGAGCATGCCCCCCAACCTGGGTGGAAGCAGGTCCCAGCTCAGGACCTGACAGAGTCTTTGCTTGACCTAACTTTAGTCAGGCTCCTGAAACTTCCCGTAGGCCCACCTGTGCACCGCCTCGTAAAATGCAGTCTTAGCAATAATCCCCATCCTCCATCCCTGAACACTCTCCATAGCTTATCTAGTCTGGTTCTTCACCTCCCACATCTCCCAGGTGATGTCTGATCACCCTGGCCTGTCTTCAGCAGGAATCCTGCTGAGTCGCTTGACCCAAAATGCCCCCTTCCTGCTGATGTAATTTTCTATCCACTGTCCCCCAGCGGCACCTACGCCGTAAATTTCCACTTGCCCATGCTGTACTTGGAGTTGAGCCCAACCTTTCTCGTCCACTGTAAAATCCCATCACAGTGGTCCCTGTTCCCATCACCTTACTACCTATACCATGTTCTTGGGCAGGTCCTTGCTGTGTCCCGGGACCTTATCTGCCATCCTGCTTCTCACGGTGTCTCTTGATCTGTCGCTCTCTCTCCATTTGTCTCTCCCTGTCTATACCTCTCTCTGTGTGTGTCTGACTCTTAATCTCTTGGTCTCTCGTTTCCCTCTCTTGGTATCCATCTCCCTGTCTTCACCTGTCTGTCTGTTTCTATGTCTTTCCATACCCCGTCTTTCTGTCTGCCTGTATTTCTCTGCCTTTGTCTCCACCTCTCTGTCTCTTAGATTTAATCTGAGTCTCTGTCTCTGTTGCTGTCCTCAATCTCTGCTTTCCATCTCCATCTCTTTCTGGGTCTCTCTTTGTGTCTGTCTCTATTCCTGCCTCTCACTCTTTGGGTCTATGTGTCTACCTCTCTTTGGGTCTCTCTCTAGCTCGCTCTCTCTCTCTCTCTGGCTTTATTTCTTGATTTCCGTCTCTCAGTTTCTGTCTTTCAATCTCTGGCCCTTTCTATTTTCACACATTGACTTTCATTCATTCATTCATTCATTCATTCATTCATTAATTCTCCCCCACCCCTACTCTATCTCTTGCCCCTCCAAATTCCTCACTCACCAACTCCTCCCAGATCCACAGCAGACTCTCCCTGGCACCTTCAGTGTCTGCCCCTGGGGACATGAGGGTCTGGTCAGCTCTCCCTGATGGGGGGGCACCTCTCAGGGCCCTGGGGGTTGGACCCAGCCCTGGAAGCACCAGTCCAGCCTGCCTCAGCTGCCTCCACAGCTCCATAGTCTCTGAGCAGTGGCTGCACAGAACAGGAAGTAGCAAGGTCCAGAATGACCCAGACCCCTGGAGACCTGGGGGGTGGGGGAAATAAAGGGCAGTGGAAGGGTCTGACATGGCATCCCAAAGCCCATTCTTCAGTGAGAATCAGCATTTTTTTCTTTCTGAAGCCTAATCTCAACTCCGCTTACAAGCATCCAACTCCACCCCTCCATGTCTCTTCCCAGGAATAACCCCTCCCTGTCTTTGATGTCTATTGATGCCTGGCCTCATCCTGTGTAGCCCTCTCCTGGGTCTCAGGTCCCAACACTCATCCTCAAACCCCAACTTCGTCCTTGCCTTTCTCCACTCAAGCCATCCAGGGCTTCCCAATCAGTGTGCCTGAGGAGCCAGGAATGGCTTCCAAGAGAATGATCCCTCGGCTGGGCTGCCTCAATGTCCGGGCTGCTGGTATTTCGCTGAGCAGCCAACTCTGCTGACTCTAGACTTGCCCACAGATGGTATCACTTTCAGCACTGGGCCCTGCCAGGGAAAAGGTTGGAACACACTGCAGGCCTCCCTCTGCTAGAGCCCCTCTGTCAGGCCCAGGACGTTCAAATTCCTTTGATGTGTCAATGGCTTCAAAGTCCCTGACTCCAGTCTGACCTCCCTCCTGAGCTTCAGACCCCTATTCAGCATCTCCACCTGGATGTCTCAAGATGCATATGGTCAAAACAGAACTCTCAATTGGGACCTACCCCACCGTATTAGTTTCCCGGTGCTGCTTTAACAAATTACCACAAACTTAGTGGCTTAAAACAGCACAATGTTATTCTCTTACAGCTCCAGAGGTCACAAGTCTAAAGTGGGTGCACAGGGCTGGGTTCTTTCTGGAGACTCTAGGGGAGAATCAATTTTCTAACTTTAACAGCTTCTAGGAGCGACCCACATTTCCGGGCTCATAGCCCCTTCCTTGTATCACTCCAAGCTCTTCCATCTATCATCAGGACTTTCCTGCCTCCATTTTATAATATCCTCATGATTACATTGGGCCCACCTCAATTACCCAGGATAATCTCCCCATCTCAAGATTTCTAACTTAACCACATCTTTTGCGTATCACTGATAGTGACATACTCACAGGTTCCAGGGATCAGAACGTGGATATTTGAGGGGGGGTCATCTCAGCCTACCACACCTGTCCTTCCAAGCACCTGCTACTCCCCAGTTTCCCCATCTCTCTGAGTGGCAGCACTGTCCTTGTAGTTTCTCAAGGTGCTGGCTCCAACTCAAAAAGAGATTCATAATCTGAGTACTTCTCACCATTTCCGTTGCCCCATCTCTGCTCCTGTCTCCATTCATCTCTGGTTTGGATGAGTATAGTAGCCTCTTTGCGGGCCCCCCCACCCCCGCCCTCTAAGATCTGTTTCCCGCCTGGCAGAATTGATCTTTACAAAATGTAAATTAGATGACACTGTCCTGAGAAGGGAATAAAATCCTACCAGGCCTGCACAGTCAGCTCCCGGCCCACCTGCCTGACCTGGTCTTCCACCTCTGTCTTCAAGACGGTTCCCACCTCTGGGCCTTTGCACTGGCTGCTACCCTGCCTGGAACACTTTCCTCCCAGATGTTTGAATGGCCATTTCCTTCTTATCCTCCACTTAAATGTCATGTCTTCAGAGAGGCTTTTGCCAATGGCCCTGTACCGCTGTCACTCCCTATCATATTACCTGTTCGTATTTGCCTCTTATCAAATACTATCTGAAGTTACCTTGCTTCTTCTGGTGTTTCCTATCCATCCTCTCCCTGCCTGGAATGCTGACTCCCGGAGATGGGGCTGGGTCGGTCCTGTTCACCACGGTAACCTCAGCACCCAGAGCAGTGCCTGCGCCATGGTACCTGCTCAGTAAATTTGTGGAGTGAATGAATGAATGATTCCATCCTCAAGACTTCACATCGACTCTTCACTCTGAGCTCCAAACTGAAGTCACACACACATCACAGTACTAATCTTTTTTTTTTCTCCTTAATCTTTGTTTTAATGGGTCTCAACATTCTGTGAGAGATTTTTGGTCAAGTTGTTTCCATTCAAAACTAATAAATAAAAACTAATAACTAACTAAAACTAATAACTGATTTTAAAAACTAATAACTTAAAAACTGCCACACACACACACACACACACACAAATGGTCCAGAAAACATTCTCCTTTCCTTCTGAAGGTTTTACGATGCATTGTAATCATTAACCAGTCTTTTACTATTAAACTTAAATGGCCAATTGAGACAAACAGTTCTGAGATCGTTCTTCCACCACTGATTAAGACTGGGGTGGCAGGTATTGGGGATAATATTCATTTAGCCTTCTGAGCTTTCTGGGCAGACTTGGTGACTTTGCCAACTCCAGCTGCCTTCACGTCCACTGCTTTGATGACACCAACAGCAACTGTCTGTCTCATGTCACGAACAGCAAAACGGCCCAGAGGAGGGTACTCAGAGAAGCTCTCAACACACATGGGCTTGCCAGGCACCATATCAGCGATGGCAGCATCACCAGATTTCAAAAACTTAGGGCCATCTTCCAGCTTTTTCCCAGAATGACAATCAATCTTCTCCTTCAGCTCAGCAAATTTGCAAGTGATATGAGTTGTGTGACAGTCCAGCACAGGTGCATACCCAGCACTGATCTGGCCTGGATGGTTCAGGATAATCACCTGAGCTGTGAAGCCAGCTGCTTCCATTGGTGGGTCATTTTTGCTGTCACCAGCCACATTGCCACGACGAACATCTTTGACAGACACATTCTTGACATTGAAGCCCACATTGTCCCCAGGAAGAGCTTCACTCAAAGCTTCATGGTGCATTTCAACAGACTTTACTTCAGTTGTAACATTGACTGGAGCAAAGGTGACCACCATGCCGGGCTTGAGAACACCAGTCTCCACTCGGCCCACAGGGACAGTACCAATACCACCAATTTTGTAGACATCCTGGAGGGGTAGACGCAGGGGCTTGTCAGTTGGACGAGTTGGTGGTAAGATGCAATGCAGAGCTTCAAGCAGTGCGGTTCCACTGGCATTGCCATCTTTACGGGTGACTTTCCATCCCTTGAAC